TATTTTCCTTCTCAGTGCTTTGCAATTTTAAAAATTTCTCATACAATCCTATCCACGAACACTGTATAGACTTGGACCTTAGTATTGAACAACATACTACAAGTGTTCAAGGATTTCCTATTTACTAGGGAGGAGGTCAGGGCATAACACCTATTAACAGGTTATTTATCACATGCTTATAAAATGTGGACAAAGGTTACTGTTTTCTTAAAATAAGACGCAACCAAACAATGCATGATGATTTTAATTGATTCTTACATGAATGGATGCAATCAGTTATTTAGCTGACAATGCTTACCTTTCTGACATTTGAAGGGGGAGCTTATTGAACTCAGCTGCTAACACATCACATCAGCAGGACTAAAAAGCATGTATCTGTGGAGGGGGATGGGGAAAGGCAGATGGGACTATCCTAGGAATGGAAGCATTCCCACTCCTTAGATGGGTGTAGATTTGTGTCTACACCTTGGCTGTATAGGGAGATGGATGAGTAATGTGGTCGGCAGCATGAATTGGGTGTCTGATTCAGCTTACCAGTGCTGGCCTCCTCCTTTGAGCCCCTCGCCCCAACTCTGATTTTGTAGAGAGGGCTTCTCTGCTCAGGATTACACATCCCCACCTCTGACCTGGTCATTATTCCCAATTATCATCCATCTGAAATAGCCAGCCAGGGTTTTAGCAGGCGCACATCAAGGATCACAAAAGGAACTTGGATTATAAGGAATAAAAAAAATATGTCCAACATGTGGCATCATTAAGGAACTCTGGCTAAGACACGTTGTTTATAGTCAGCAGTTGTCTGGAAAATAGATGTTTACTTATAGTAAGTATATTAAGATCTTTGCCATTAGGCAATATATATCCTGCATTTTGTCTTCTCTTACAGAAAACTGCATTGGTACAAACCCTTAATTAGCAATTCTTGCGGCAAGGAAAAATATCGAACACCAAAACTCTTCTTTGTTGGCATTTCTGCTTATTAAAGAGAAGGGATGGGGGACACCAAGTCGGGAAACTTTCTGTGGAAAGATGGCCCTAAAAAAAAAAAGTATGTCCCACTTAAAACTGTAAGTGAAATTTGCTAAATAAAGATTACAGTACTTGCAGAAAAATGTCCCTGATATTAGCAAGAACTTAAACACACTGAGTTTCCCTGAACCATGCAATTTCTGATGAAACAGTGTATTTTCATATAACTAGATGAGTTCTTTGCAGATTCTCTCAGATCTCTCTTGAGTTTCTTTAGAAGCTGATGACACTAGATTTTTCTGATGCATATCAGGATATGGACAACTCTTTTGGAAAATGAGCCAGGCATCACAAGACTCGCGTCCTATTTTTTCTTTCAACACATTATACTTTTTTTGGCCTGTATGGTCTTAGCAAACAGACTTGTGCCCAACATGGCATCCATATTAATGGATATTCCTAATCTTGTAAAGTTCTGAATAGCACTGCATCCTAGTTATCCATTAATTTAAGACAAACTGGGCCAACAGGTAAGCAAGTGTACTCCACAATCTGAGCAGCCCTCCTCAGCATAGGCATGATCTTGGGCAACCTTTTCTAAATCTTGGTTCCCTTATATGTAAAGTAGCCTTGTTATAAGAATTCCATGAAAAACATATATGAAGCACCTAGCACCGATTCTAGCAGATAATCAATCAATGTTATCTATTAGGGTGAAATATTCAGCTAGGTACCAAGATTCCTTAGTACCTTTAAACCCTGCATAATGGCAGGTGGCAGAAGCTGCCCTGATTCCGTACCCACTGGTCCTTACTCACTAATATGCCTTTGGTGAGTAAATGAAGGAATGAAGGACTGCCATAATTAGCCTTTATATTTTAACCCCCAGCTTTACCAGTTTAACCAATCAACTCATTTTGCCATATCACACTTTAGTCTTCTCTACCTTCTTATAATCAGAAGCAGGAACAACTGTTACCTGTGCATCAAGAGAGCTTTCTGGAATCAAATCAGCAAATACTTATTGATGGCAAGACAGGTGAGCAGAGTGAGGTCAGGAAAGAGAGTTCTCAGGCTGGTTTCTAGAACACAGCTCTGCAAATGTATACAACACAGTAAAAATCTGGATCAATGGTTTGTTTTATTATTTGTTTTTAATATTAAATGATCTGATGACATAATATGAGTCCTTATGTTCTGTTCTCATCTTTAATCTCATTGCATGCCAAGCACCCACTTCATAAATATGCTCACCTGAAACATTCAGACCTGCTGCCACCGCAAGAAAGTCCAGTCTTTCTCAGTTGGTGCCAAGGGATCTCAAAATGCTTTGGGGAGCTTGTTAGATTAACTTCCTCACACTTTTTTGCCCCCCCCCTACTCAAAATATGAGTATTTGCAATTCTGAGCAGACCTGAGGAGAGATGGACTGTACCAATGCTTCTGTAATCTATTTTTCATTTCTGAAATAGTGCACCTTGCTTTTCCTCTTATAGTATATCACTATTTGCTTGGTTTCACAGAACTGTTTTAATAAGAAAGTTTCATGAATATCCTGGGATTATAGTCTTTAAATGAACTTTCATGCCCATGATATAAGCCCTTTGGGTTCAAAACTATCCCACTTAAAAGCATCCGCTTATAACCACCAGCTGCTGGTTCTTTTCTCATAATACTCATGAGTGCACACACAGATACACACAGATATACGTGCATGCTTGTGCATGTGCACACACACACCTTCACAGGCACTATATATGTGCAAACACCAAGAAGGGACAATGTATTGTAAAAATCGTCCTGTCGAGAGTTTGTGATCTAGAGTGAGTTACTGAGTGCTGATAAGTAAAGGAAGTGCAACCAGACAGTTTAATCCCCCAATTTCCTGTCTTCTAATCAGCCCCTGATTCTTTTGGTTCTAAATTAGAAACATTCCTGACAATATTCAGGACAGGTGAAGGAAAATCAACTAGAAAATAAGACAAAGCATTTATTTCTCTGTCTAAAGTTCACAGGAGAAATATGAGCAACGGAAATCCAGATTTTAAAAAGATAGTAGTCGTACATAGGCTAGTTTAGGTAACCAATCACATTTCACTCTGGGATCATAATTAGATTTAAAGAAAAAAAAAAAGGAACATAGTTTAATGTATTTGCTTCTCCCTAAGAATAGTAAATGCTATTTTAAAGGATGGAGTACAGGGCCAACCTAAAAGAAAATGATAAGGATAACTTCTTAATGTATGGGGGAAAAAAAAAAGGAAAACTCTATCTCATTCAGATTTCACTCAGAATTGATTATTTTTAGTTCTGTGAGAGAATAATGCTTAAAGTAGATGGAAACCTTTGAAGTTAATGCATATTCTTAGAAACTAATATAGTTACACATATTTACAATGGTGGATAAAATTTAAAGATTGTGCATTTTAAAATAAGCTCAGATAGAGCCACTGCACTCTGCAAGAAATACTTAAAAATAAAGTGTGCAAATATATGAAATGCAAGGTATATAAATATATTTGCCATGGATTCTTTTAAAAATCTATCAGGTGCTGAGAATATGATACGCTTTATTATTTCCTGAATCTCTTCTTTTTGAGTCTTTTCATTTATAGCCATTGCAGCAATTTCCACGTTATTTTCATCATTATCATGAAAGAGTGTAAGTTTCTAGACAAATTTTTATTAGGCAAAGTCTTCAAAGGAATATTGAAAAAAGCCATTTAACAAAAGTTGTTCAGTTGAGAATTAACATTTTAAAAATTAAAGTGGTAAATACAAATTAAGATGTGAACAACAACAGAAGGTTTTCATGAAATATGGGTTCTGAATTTTATGTCTGCAGCACTTAAGGTTGCCAATCATTTGGCAAGTAGGCTGAAGCTGAGGTTTTTTAATTTATTTTTTATTTTTTTAATTGTCGAAAACAGTAAGACAGTATTTTGTAGAAGGATCTTGCTAATTTTCACATGTATACTTTAAAAATGAACATGTACAACACAAGGCACAGCATATCCCTCTTGCCCAAGTATTTTCCTGGTATACAAAGTTTGAATTGTAAAAATACAAATCAAGTGACAAACAATTATTGATTGGAAAATTATATGTCAATTTCTAAAGTGAAATGCTCCCATAATCAGTGCTTGGGGACCTGGCAGGGGGGGGAAGCGGGTTTTAGAGTGATTTAGTAGCCTTCATTCCATAGTCACCACGAGTTTTTAAGTTGAATGTCAGAAGAAAGACAAGTGTATTTTGGGATTCACACAAAATTCTCCCATAGACTAAATCAATTACAAAGAGGAGAGTGTTTGTTCTGCCTTCGTGTTGGTGCTGTGTGGGTAGAATGGAGGTAATTCCACTGGACAGAATTAAATTTTGAAGCCTAGACACGCATCCGGGGTGCTCCCATCTCATTTGGAATAGAGAAAAATTTCATGAGGGTTTTCTTTAGTTTACGATGGGAAGGTTTCAACTAGAGATGTCACAACATATCTAGATTAAGTTGATACGTAATATCTATTTCTTGATTTGCATGATTAAAGCATTAGAGAAGTGGCTCAGATATCAAAAGATTTCTCCTAAGTGGCAGCGCCAAAGGTAATTACTGTTAAAATGTACATGCTCGAACCCTGGTCGCTTGTTAACTTCTAAGTTGTTTACCACTCCAGGGGTTTTAATAAAAGTTTTCATTTGACTTTAGGATATCAAGAGACCTATCTTGCTTCATTTGGATGTAATAAGTGGATGTATCATTTCTTATATCCCACGTCCCTCAAGACAACATTAGGTTCAGCCAAAAAAAAACAGTGATAGAGGACAGAGATATTCCTTCTCCGTATTTCACATTATAAAATAAGTATTTCTCAAACAAAAGTCATTGCTTTAAGACAAAGCTAAAATTTATGCTTAAAAAGAATTAAAGATTGATCTAGACAACCGACTCCCAGTTAGTTATCAAAAAGTGTGCTTAAAAACCAACTGTAAATGGGAGTTATGAGAGGGGGTGGGGATAGAGAGGGAAAGAAAGAGAGGTTGTTATTCTCAGGCTTTTATTAACCAGTTTCTTTCATCCTAGTGTGTCTTTATTACTTAGAAAAATAAAAATGATCTGGGGCTCTATCCATTCTCACCTAAAATTCTGCAGTAGGTAACGACTGTCTACAACCTGGTCCAACATATGCCCCCAAACTAAAACAAACAAACTCATTTGCCATACAAATTGTTTACGATTCATTAAAAAGCAAAATTGCATATCCCGGAGCTGGCAGCTGAGGCCGAGCCTCCACGGGCGGAGGGGGTATTCACTGAGTTGCCTTTGTATGCTGGGACGACCACGCTGGAGGTTCCCACTATGAACCGGAGTCTGTGCAGCCAGATGACACATGAGGTAATTTTAAAGCTTTATTTGCCTTTAGTGTGAAACTCAGATCTTGTACTGTCCTTTGCTTAGAGAATCTTATCAGCCAGGGGGACGTTTAATTTTTTTTCCAGTTATTTGGGGAAAATTATTTGGGATAGTGAGATGGGGATGTGGAAGGAGAGGGCATGAGTGCTATTTAAGGAAAGAGATCTAAGAGAAAATGTGAAATGTGTATTATTTTAATTAGTCCTCTCCCCCTTCATCAAAGTCCTTCCTCAATTTCCCATCCATAGTGGGAAATTTACATTAGAGTTATTTGTAACTGGTAGATCTAAAACGCAATGGCATGTGGTCAACTTTAAGGGAAACAAACAAACAAACAAAAATCAATTTATCTCCTAGGATAACTTCTGTAAAGATTGCTCTGATTTCTCACCCTTTTCAAAGCAAAGCCCTAGAAGCAGAGAAGTAGAGAGAAACTTTTCTGCAATATGCAGCCTAAACAGCAGCATGTGAGCTTTCAGCATTGTTTATTTTTAGACAACTGCATTGCTAAATGTTTCCACCACTTTTATATGTTATATTCCCGGCGGTAAAACATCTGTAAAATAATTTTAAATGAAAAGCAACTTCCAAGTAAACTTTACAAAAAAGAAATGACAGTTTTCCAAGTTTTAAAAAAAGAAACATTTGGTGATCTTTGCAAGAAATGAAAAAGATGACACAATTTGCCATAAAAAGTAACAGTCTATAAAATCTAGGAGCTCTTGAAATGCAAGGAAGTAGAATCTTTCCCCAAGAATATGACATCAGCATAGTTTTTTTTTTTTTTAAGCTTACAACTTAGCCTGGAAAATAATAGCCAAACCAATCAGTATATTCATTTCTAGTGTTTAACAAGCTGCAGAAGGTAAAGCAATAGGCAACATTAGCACATACAAGTAAACCACTTTTTTTTTTTTTTGGCTAGCAGAAACGCTAATGGGAAAATAAATACCCTGAATAAAAGTTCAGGGTCGAAGTGGATAGTCTACCACTAGTCTCATTAGCCAAAAGCTGCATGTAACATTGTCCTGAAATCACTGGTAAAGTTTCTAAGGTCTAGTTAAGAAATTGCAAGTTAAAACGCACATGTACACACATACCCACAAACACTTTTACTCAAGTCCTTGGAATGGACACACTGTATCCCAAGAAGCAGCCGAATAGAATCCTGCTGGTAGTTCACTTTTAATTGTCTCTCAGTCCTCCGAATTCCTAAAACTTGCCAAAATGATACCACCATTGGTCCAGGAAGGGGAAGGGAGAACTCTTTCTGCAGCTCATACAGTGAAAGCAGCCATGCCCTGTTTTGTAATTCCATTCGCCAGTCTCCCCCTTCAACATTACTCTCTCTGTCTTTTTTTTTTTTTTTTTTTAAACTGATATCTATGTGAAATGAGCTGAAGTTCACGGTCCAGTTAGGAACGGATAATACATTCATTGTCCTGGCAGCAAACTTTTTTTTCACTCCCTGGAAGAATTCACGCTTGCCGCAAGAATAATAATTACGGAAAACTAGAAATGCACTGCTAACGAATTAATCCTTAACGGACACCACCCTAACGAGGGCAGTAATGATTTGAGGACTCTCTTCCTCACAGGACCTGCCTCTCCTGTGACAATGAGCTATTGTGCATCCTCCCAACCCACTCTACCTCTTATAGATCCAAGAAGTCAAAGGTTGTCTGGCCTGGTTGACCATGACATGTGAGTTAACTCATTCTGCGGGCGCATGATAGAACTTTATTAAAACTTTATTTGTATCCACAGTAACTAAAAAGATAGGATGTGTGGGTCTTTTCCACTCAGAGCTAGAGTTCATAAGAGAACTCTGACATAAATAAATGCAGAAAAGTTAGATGAGAGCTACTGGTTCCCTAATGGGAGGCAGGGAGTTGGGGGGGGGGACCCAGGGCAATTTCACAGGTGACTTCCAGCAACCCAATTACTGGGGCAAGACCAGGATTCACTCAGGGCTTGCTTCTCCCCAGTGCCCAACATGCATCCCAAGAAAATACCAAAGCCAAGGAAAACCACACACCCGCTAGTCCCTGAAAACAAAACTAAAGGGGCCGTGAAACTAGAGAAAGGGGCAAAAGCTGAGGGGGGCAGAAGAAACATTTCATTTTCTACCCCAAGACCGGCTTGGCTAAAAATACCCACACTTCCACCTTAAAACTTCTGATACTCTTTAAAAAAAAAAATAGCAACCTTCAAATACTGTCCCATGGAAAACAAGGGCAAGCATTGCTGAGAACTCAAGTTGCAGAGTGGCAGAGAGAGAGGGAGGGTGGCAAGAGGAAGCAGTGTGAGACTGCCTCACTGAAGAGTGTGAAAAAAATCAAATGTGAGTTTGATGAATGTGAGGTCTGGGACATTTTGTCAAAGAGGGAGGGAAAGTAGAAAAGAAAAAAAAAAAAAAAAAAAAAAAAAGGCAGTCCCCGCTGCCAACTCACCATCCACCAAGTTCTGGCCGAGATGTCGTAGCAGAGCTGCCATTTGATGGAGCCGTCGGAAGCTTTCCCTGCCATTACGCTGTCAGCAAGCTTCATCTGATGCTAACTCACGGGAGATAAGACACCTAATTGAGAAAACATTTGCAGTGGCATGTGGGGCAACATGTAGTCCGGTCCATACCATATGGAATCATGGGTAAAAAAAAAATCTCCTTGACAATGAACCAATCTCTCACAGACCCAGTGGCAAGGTGAAGTGGAGATGAAAAGTCTTCTGCTGCTAGCACTGTCTCCTCTCTCCTTTTTAAAAAACAAGAGCCCACTGCTACACATCAAAGGGAGGTGGTTAAAATTAGGGCTTCATCACTCAGATGATTTTGGTCTGCAAGGTTTTTCCTTTCCTTCCAACAACCAATCCCCCCCCTCTTTTTTTTTTTAAGGAGAATAAAGAGATTTAATAGGACAAAGGCAGGTAGTGGACTGCGGAGGGAGATCGCCACAGGCTATTAGCCTAAAATTTCTGCTTGACAGATGGAACTGCTTAGAGACTATCATG